CAAGCAAAGTGGACAGGAAGTGGGGGGGTGGGGCAGAGAGGGTGCACACGGACCATTCTCTCTTTTGGCACATCAGTGGATCTGGTCACCTCAGGCAGGGTAGGCAGATCTATCAAAAGATCTTGGGTAGCCCATTCCTACTTCCCTGAAGACTAAGCCGTCTTCTTGTCTAGTCTGGCTTTCCACAGGCTTTGTAATGGCCCTTTCTCTGGACATCAGAGATTAGGGTTCTCTCTGCCAGTCTCAGGCTGAAAGCCAACTTCCTATGAACTCACTGCTGCTGATGCTCAGGGTGCCTCACAGGCCTTCCAATCTGGCACTTAGCTATTATTTCCTCTTCTTTTTCCAGGTCCTCTGTTACTATTGTGAAGGTAGGTCTCGTGGGTCCCATTGGGTTCCTAGTGTATACCTGGACCCTAGCTATCAGTACTCTAAGCAACAGCTGACTGGGCCACTGAGTACTGTGGGGCACTTTCTAGCAGGCTTTATTCCATTATTGCCGCATATTTGAGCGCACAGGAGGTGTTCTGTCTACACCTGATGGACTCCCGCTGTTGTGATGTATTAACAGTCCTTGACTACAGGAGGGTGCTCCTAGGTATGTTTCCCTGAGAAGCAAGGAAGTCAGAGAAATGAAGAAACTCAGTCATGAGATGGCTCGACCTTCCTCCCATCTCTCTGCTCTGGTCTTTCTTTTTTCCTCCTTTGCCTGCAATGTGAATCTGCAAACCCACTTCCATCATCTCTTGATACCCCCATGTGACCTTGCGAAAGTCTTATCCATCAGGCGCCTCTCGTGGGATGTCACTTCCTGTCTTCATCCTTCTAACTGTCCCTTTCTCCCTGCTTCCTTCTTTTCCTCCATCCTCCAATTCAAGCTTTTTGTCTCCTTTCCTTGGCCAGAAATGAATTCTTTAATGTTCTCCCCGCCCCCCTTCACGAGCTTTGTAACTCTCCAAATCTCTTCAGCTCTTCTACGGTAAACATCATGCAAGGGACCCCAAGCTCCCTGATAGTCCTCTCTGTCAGTCTTCACCCTTCTTTGTTTTCCTTGCTTCTGTTTCTCTCTCCCCCTTGTCTGCATTATAAAGCTTACCAATAATGCAAAAACGTGGCGGAGCGGGGGAAACTAACAGTGTTACCAGTGCGGCCATTCAACCTTGAACTTTTCAAAAACGCCGGTGGGTGTGGAACCATTCTGAGGGAACTGCTTGCTTCTCCCTTGTTTCCACGTCTTGCTGGCACATACTACATGAGAGTGGCTACTCTTTAGCCCCAGTAGCCTGCTCTGTAACCAAATGGATCTCTGAGGCTGACTCCAGAGATATTACAGCCTGGTAATTGAGGAAGTCCTGGAAGGAGGTCAGGCCTGGGGTGGTGGTAGCTTGCTATTGCAGTGGTTTCTTGACATCTTTTTAAAACCTAAGGTCTTCCTTCGGTGGTTTATTCAGAGAGCAGAATTATGCCTTTTCCTTGATATTTTCCTCCACACTGAAGGGCAGTTGCCTCATTTAAGAAGTCCTATACCCTTGTGGAATTACCTGAGAGAGGAAATTACTCTGTTTTAGTGAAAGACAGGGAAAGAAACGAAGCACACTCTGGAGCTAGGTGGCTGTCAGATTAAACTATGAGATGCCTAGCAGGAGACAGAATGCTGTGGAGGTAGTTCATGCTTTTTGTTGTTGTTTTTGTTTGTTTTGCTTCTCCTGTAGGCCTCAGTTATTTATGAATGTTGGGGTCCAGTGTTGGGATTCAGCCCCTACCTATCAAAGGGTCCCTTGAAGTGGGGAGTGAGGAATTGAGAAGTGATAGATAGATAGAAATATAGGTGTAGAAAAAGACAGAGACACAGGATAGTTTCAGGAGGGCTCTGGGTCAATACCCAGCAGCCACAAGTTTATTTCTAATGGGCTTTTTATACACTAGCAAGGGGAGAGGCAAAAGACCTCCCCATTTCAAGATCAAAGCACAACGTATAACCCAGAGCAGACCCTTCAAAACACCTGGTAACCACGCCCCATGGCAAAGCATCTTGTGATTTGGCCTTGAAGTATAAGACACCTGGTAACCAGGCCTTTGCATCCTATTATGCAGCCTTGGAGAGCAACATAAACTGTGACTCTCAAACCTGGAAACAAACCACAAGCTGGAATCTTTGTGGACTTCCACATATCAAGTCAAAGATTCTGAGTCAGACGGATCCTCAAATGTCATTTCATTCCAGTTGGCCTCAATGGGTGGGTCTTCTCTTGGACCAAAGGCAGAGCCCTCCTAGGTTTTTCAAGATAAGAAGTGACTTCTAATTTCTATTGAATTGGAAGAATTTTTTTTTTATTTTTCTATTTCTTCTTGTTACATTTTGGTTTGGTTTTTGAGATGGGATCTCTTGCAATCCTGCTTTCTCTACCTTCAAGGGCAGGGATTATAGGCATGTACCACTATGCCTCTTAGAACATTGTTCTTTGTGTTGGTCAAAAGGCTTTCTGTTTGGACTTTCTTCTGGATGGCCCCATTCTATGCCCTAAGGCTTGACAGAGTAAATATCATCCACTTTCCACTCGAGAGCCCCTTGGACATTTGAAAATATTAATGATAGAGTAGTAGCCCCACTTTCAAATTTCCTATGGCCTGGTTTCACATCGTTTGGAGATGCTGGTTGCTGAATCCTCAGTTTACCCTACTTTGACTGGTGGGGTCTAAAGCAGAAGCAGATGCTCCAAATAGCCCCAGAGGGAACAATGCCTGCCCTGCTTCCTCCTCTACGGCCTCGATCCTCTACCACTGACCTGCCATTCCTTGAATGCTCAATGCACCTGACACGTACATCCTGAGCAATGTTTTTGGACTTGAATGCCAACTCTATAGCAGAGTGAGACCTAGTCTTAGCTGAAGACACATTTGCATGGAAGGTAATGCTCGTGTTTTTGCAGTTTTCTTACAGTTCTTTGACTTTTCTTCTTTTCTGGATGGAGAGCCTTATGCAGCATTGGTGGGTCTCCAACGTGCTGTGTAGCTGAAGATGGGCTTGAACTCCTAATCTTCCTGCCTTCACCACCAGCATTCTCCAATTACAGGCCTGCATTACCATGCCCACCTTTCAATCTCTCTCTCTTTTTGTTTGATGTGCGTTTATAACAGAACTTAAGTATTGCCAGAATTATTGAACACTTACTCCACCCTAGGACCCAGGACAGGTCCAAGCAATAATGCCGGACTCTTTGCTCAATAACCATATCATTAACTGGCTTTTCTTCTTCTTCTTCATCGTCATCACCACCACCACCATCTTAGTACCATAAGCTTCTCTTTTATGGGTTGCTGTTGCTATTTGGAACCTACTTCCTGTAGTGTTCATGTTGCCCGTAAAGAAAGAGCCCAGAAAGTAGCCATGGTTCTTAAAAAATATAACTGTACTGGCTTACACCAAGTTCAAGCTTCCCACATGGTTCAGTACAGTGCTGCTCCCAATATCAGAGAGGTAGTGGAATTTAATAGAGATGGGTGAGAGTTGGCTTGTGATTTGGTTCGTTGAGTAAATAGGAAGTGTTTTGTATTGATTTCTTGCCAAAGCCCCCCCCCCCCCCCCCAGGATAGCTAGAAGAGCCCATATAGCCATGTGACATGTGAAATGGGCTTGAAGCTTTCAGAGATTTCTATTTGATCACAGACTGGTCCATTAACCACTCCGACCTCAGTTTCTTTATCACTGAAACAGGGCTCTTCTAATCTCCCAGTCAAGGCCCCCTAACTGGCCTGATGGTGAACCGATTGGATCACAAAGCGTGTGGTTGCCTAGTCAACACCAAATCACTGTCATTGTCCTGCAAAGTCTCCTTATTCATTTAGGCTTCGCTAACGGTTACTGGTAAATAAAAAGCTTCCCACTTGGTCCTATTGGTCCCCTGCCCGATTTGACATAATGATAAATTGAACTCTTGCCTGCAGCATCAAGCTGGGTCTCTCTCTCTGCATCATGCTCAGCACACTGTCCTCACGTTGGGGGGGTGGGGAGAGCCCTGTTGCTGAGGGGAGCAAGCCTACTGCCCTGCCTTGAGGTTGAACTCAGCCTCTCTTCCCCTCATCTCTAGAGGTGGAGCCTGGTCTGGATGTCGGTGGGAAGAGGTCAGGAAACCCAGTCCTGATGTTCCCTCTCCTCATGGTTTGTCTAGTAGCCCTGGAAGCATCGCTTGTTTGCCTCTTTGCAGCAGAGAATAATCGATTTCTTATTTCCCACCTGCCTGCTGGGTAGGTTAGAATGGATGAGATTGCATCTCTGCAGAGAAAGAGGCTATTCGGATATGCAGTCTGTATTCATCACAGTGGGCAGCAGAAAGTATCCCAGGGTTCCCAGGACACCAAAAGGCCAAGAGAGCCCAGGAGACTGGACCAGCATGTTTTTCTCAGACTTTAGAGACGATGCCTGTCTCTCCAGAACAGCCGTGTGTGTGACGGACGGTGTGACTTCGTGATGCATTTTTACCAGTCCAAACTAGACACACAGCAGCAGCAGCAGCAGCAGCAGCAGCGAATGATTGCCAATCACCTCGTCCCTCGTACAGTATAAGCTCTGTAAGCTTAGTTACTACTGAGACCACTTCCACCTCCACTCAGGGACTTCCACGTCCAAAGAACTCTGGCTTTCCAGCGAATTTCCTTGGTGGATTTCAGAGGACCTCAGTCCTCCAGTTCACACCGAGGCTGGGTGTGTGCTCTCTCTCCTCAGCACTCCTCTCCTCCCACCCGAAGACACACGATCCCAAACCCAGGACTGGCTTGCCGTGTTCAGCATCTCCCACTAGGGGGAGCCCCTGGAGGGCAGCTGGGGCTGAGCAATTTGGGAAGCGCTGAAGTTTTCTGCTCCTGTCCTGTACTGGTTTTCACTAGCCCAACTGTGAGATTTCTTTGTTGCAATGTTGGGGTCTGAGATAACACGGCTGGAGGCTGCAGGCGAGAAACATAGCTGAGACCATCTTTTGTGTGTGTGTGTTGTTATTTACTAGCGCTGTGAAACCAAGGAAGTGAAATAACAAAAGAGCATGAAGACAGCGCAGCCCCAGCTGGTAGGCCCTGAAGAGAGGCTGGAGTCCTCAGACCGACAGAAGGAAGACATCTGAGGGGCGACCAGGAGGTGTCTGTGGCTGCGGAACACAGGTGAGAGATAGAGGGAAGACGACCAGGGGCCTCATGGGTAAAGAGGCGCAGAGCCCCTGACCTGGGAAAATGGATAGACTAAAATGAAGAGGGGTCAGCAGAGATTAAGGGGGAAAGCAGTACAGAGGGGCACTGATAGAGAACATCAAGAAAAGGAGGAGGGTAAGAGGTGGGGTTGCTCAAAGGAGGGCAAAAGAAAGAAAAAAGGTTGCTGTCGGAAAGAGAGAGGGCTTGAGAACAGAGAGCAGTCTGAAGTTGCTTCCCACTCGGCTGCTTAAGAAACTTGACGTGAAAAGGGTGGGTGGGAGACTGACATGGGATGTCCAGTTGGGAAAGGAAGTTCAGAGTGAGCAGATGGGCCTCATAGTCGATCTAACCTTTCTGGTTGTGTGTCATATAGCCACACCTACTCCCACTTTGACCTAAACTAGAAGGAATTCTGGTCTGCCGTTTCCAGGTTCTTTCCACTATGAACCAATGCTTCCCACTTTCCCTTTCATCCCTTGGATCTTCCAGCGCCGCTCTAGGAAGTGGACCAGCAATCAGAAATTCTGTCTTCTAGTCTAGAACTTGCCACTTATTGTCGGGATTAGCCTAAGCTAGGAAACCCCGGAGTTTCCCTTTCCTTTGTCTGAAAAGGGAGATAATAATATATTACTGACGAGTGTTCCAGATTGTTCCGAGGACTAAATAAGCAAGAGGATGTGAAGAAATGCTCTTAATAGATTATAATTGCTAGCTAAATAAAAGTTGGCATTAATAATAATTAATCAGTTAATAGAGCCTTGCTGTTCTCAGCAGGGAGTTTGCTGAGTCCTGGAGAGGATGGTATACATGCAAATCTGCACTCATATCTTATTCTACTATTTGTGGACAATTTATACATGTAACTGCCCAGACTTTTAGAACTAATCTCTTTGATAAATGAGACACTTAATATTCACTCCTTTTTTTTTTGACAGAAACAAATATTCCTTTTCCAGCCTCAGCTCTATTTTCTATTTCTCATGCAGATAAGTGATTGATGGCTTCTACATGGTGCCTGGGGGCATGAGTTTTCTATGTCCTGGACACAGGAGTCAGTGTCATGTCTTGGGCATATGGTCGGACTATTTTGAAGAAGCAAATGACAGGCTGTGATAATAATAATCCCGTCACTCTCTCCCCTTTCTAGAATGTTCTTTCCAGGTCACTTGTGATTTTCTTTTCACCGAAATGCGATGTGTCAGACATAAAGTTGGGTCTGTGGCCTGTGTCAGGCTGGTGGCGGTCACCTTTGAGAACTTCAACAGGCTCTGACACCTGTAGCCGAGTTCTCTCCCCTCTCTCTCAGCTTTGAGCGGCAGTGTGGCATATGGGGAAGGCAGTGTAGACCATTTGTAAAGTGTTTGATAGCTCTCTTTTATCAGCCACCTAGAGTTCTCACAAATCTTCCTCCTTGCATCTCAATGTACGTCTGAAGTGCGCCGTTGACCTGCAGCCATCGGCACTTTGTGACTTGGCTAGCACTGTGCAGTCATCATGACTCCAATGTGCTATTCCTAGTGATTGCCCCACACCTCAAGATTAGTTTAAACTTTCGTTCCAGCTGCCGACAAAAGGAAGCTTTCTTCTCTCCTCTTCATCTCCACCAATCAAATGATGCAGTGAATATTTACAAAGATGCTAAGTTTAAGTCACATCCCTACTCACCTGCAAAAAGTGAATATCCTATCCAAATGCACACTATGTAGAAGACTGTATTTTTCTAAAATTACCAAGCACAGACACATGCACACACATTTGCATATGCACGTACATGTATATATATGTATATCTATGTGTGTGTGTGTGCATACGCATACACTCCTTCCCCTTGAAAACATATTCATTCTGCATTTAATGACAACTATAAGTATTCACATAGTACACTCAAAGTGCAGATTTCATGAAGAATAAGAATATGTATCTCTCCCTCGGCATTCCAGCTGTTCTAGAACACAGAAGTGACCACAATTCACATGGCTTAAAAAAAAATCATGGATCAATTTCTGCTCTGTCTGTAGTGATAATATCGACATGCTGCCTCTTCTAGACAAACTGTCAGTAGTTTCAGATATTTTTAAATGAGTTTTTTTTAAGAATACATTTGCAAAGTCAATTATTTTGAATCTCATCTGAGGCAATTAAAAAACATCCTGACATTTAAGGTGATATTTTTTCCCCAAGTAAAATAATTATAAATAATACTAATTATGAACAAATCATTTAGTTACTCTCAGTCTGGTTCAACCTTTAGGTTAATAAACCAATCCATTAAAATTCATCTTGCTCAAAGGACCAATTTCTTTAAAAAATGTAGTGACCTTTTACCACAAATGTGATTGATATTTTCTTTAACAATATCAGAGCTGTCTTTCCCAGAGATGAGTGTGGTCCAGAGGAAGGTATAGAAGATTGGGATTGCTTTATGCCTCTTCTGATGGTGGTGAGGATACTGGGCAGGGTTGCAACCCTAATTTCAAATGGTACCTTAAGGAGACATCTGGAGGTCTCACAAAACTCACCGGTTTCAATTCTTTATGCCCGAAAACAAGTTTAGGTATTTCTCTCTACCTCTGGTGTTTTGTTTTTAGCAAACATGTAGCACAGAGATTTGCATGTATGGTATGGCCCACGGGCCAAATCTGGTCAAACATAGTTTTTGCAAAGTTTTACTGGAATAAAATTCCATCTGTGGACATGTTGTCTATAACTGCATTTTCTACTAAAAAGGCACCTTTGAGAAGTTATGACAGAGTATATATATATTCTGCAAAACTGAAAATACTTATTACTGGGTCTCTAAAGATGCTTGCAAAGCCCAAGGTATGAGGAGTGAGGGAAAAATAGGTGGTATTTTTGAATTTGTAGCTACAACGCCTATCTAGACCGCACTTTAGAATTCACTAAGTCTGCTTGGTTCTATTGTAGCAGGTGTTACGTGTCTTTCTTCGCTGAGGAAGAAATGGCAGATCTCTCTGCGGTGGTGCAGTCACTAAGTGGCACAGATAGGGGCTGGCAGCCACTAGAGAGACAGGGAAGGAGTCCACTGGGTCTTCCCCTAGATGCTGTAAATGCCAAATGACACTGGACAGAGAGAATTCTTGACACTCTGTTCCCGCCATATCTGTCCTTGGCTTGGGTGAACTTCGGTTTATCTTCTCTGTCCCCATTCTCAGGACCAGTGCTGAGTGAGAAAGCAGAATGGAAAGAAAGCATCGTGCTTTGTAGTCAAACAAAGCAAGGCTTTATTGCATCAATTCTCACTTCTCCATCTGCCCAGAGATGGGCATGGTAGCTCAGATACCCTGCAACAGAAAATAACAGGATAGTCTTTGTTTGCAGAATGTACTGTCTTTTAAAAAGTTTGCTCTTTAAAACAGAAGATCCACTTTTAATTACACTTCTTTTTTCTTAATTCAAGTTAATATCAAAATTATATCTCTCCCCCCTGAGCTTATGACATCTGCTAGCAAAGTAGGCCACAAGGAGGCGGATCTTGGGAGGAAGGAAGCCTGGGATGATAAAACAAGACAATGGTTGTTTTCAGAGACCAGAGTTCTTCTCAATCTTACATTTTCATGAAAGGAGGCAAAGGATGAAAGGAGAAAGTTGAGAATAAGAAACATCTACATTAAGCCTTCCTCGATGATTTCTGAGGGAATAAATTCAATTTTCCATTCAACCAGATTTTATATTGACTGTTCATTTTATCTCACACTGCTAGTTGAAAGATTATTGCACTGACCAAGATTCTAACTTCTTCAAACAATGATTTACTAGAGAGCCAAACACATTAGAGAGCATGTGTTTATTGTACACTTTCAAAACCTCAGACAGGAGCATAGACAGCCTTTGGCATCCTCCATGAGGTTATTTTTCCTTGTGGGGCAAGCACAGCAGACAGTGTAGAGGAAGTACTATTTGGTGAGGTTTGAAAAAGCATAGATCCAGAAGTTGGAGGAGAAAGCAGTGTAAGAGGGACAGAGGTAGTGAAGTCACAAGCAAAGGGGAAGCTTTGTATATACTCAGAAAAACCGTCCATGGTAGGTGTGAATGGAAGTTAATGGAGTCGAAGGAAGAGAAGGTAAGTGAAGTAATTCTAGAAGACCTTGGAAAGTAGGTTAAAAAGTTAGGTCTTGGGGGAGATGGCTTAGAAGTTAGGAGCACTTTCTACTATTACAAAGGACCTGGGTTCAATTCCTAGTACCCGCATAGTGGCCCAGAACCATCTCTAACTCCAGAGGATCCAGTGCCCTCTTCTTGTCTCCTTGGGTACCAGGCATGCGCATAGAGCACATACATACTTGTAGGCAAACGTTTATACATATAAAAATTTTCAGAATGCAGAAGTTAGATATTATACTGGAGGGGTGGTTCAGGTGATAGAATTCTTGCTGTGCAAGCACGAGGAACAACTGAGTTAGTTCAATCTTCAGCACCCCTGTAGAAAAATTCTGAGTACAACAGTACATGTCTGCAATCCCAGTACTGGGAAGGTGGAGACAAGAGGATCCTTGAGGCTCATTGGCCAGCTAGTCTAGCTGAATTGGTGAGCTCCAGGTTCAGTGAGGGACCCTGTCAAAAGACATGAGTAGAGAACAATTGTGAATGGCACCCAGTGTTGGCCTCTGGTCTCCACACAAATATACACATGAGTGCACATGCATGCATGAAATTAATTTTTTTTTCTGTAGATCGGAAGTTCTCAACCCATTCACAGGGGTTCCCTAAGACCATCCTACATGTCAGATGTTGACATTATGGTTCATAACAGTAGCAAAATTGCAGCTATGAAGTATCAATGAAAATAATGTTGTGGTTGGGGATCAGTACAACATGAAGAACTATATTAAAAGGTCGCAGAATTAGGAAGGTTGAGAACCACTGCTGGAGATGGTAAGGCCCATCGACTGTGTGCAGAAGAATGACTTGACCTTTGTTTTGGAAAAGAACATCACAATATTCAGTCAGAACCT